TGTTGACCAGGATGGTCTCGATCTCTTGACCTCGTGATCCACCCGCCTCGGCCTCCCAAAGTGCTGGGATTACAGGCTTGAGCCACCGCGCCCGGCCAGATTTTTTTTTAAAAGTTTGTAACTTCTTAATATATTCTGATTTGGATTCCTTAGCCTTTTCATATAAATCTTGATTATCCTGCCGTCATTCTGCATGTGGCACAGAATCCTCTTCGTGTTTCATCACATACCTAGCCTCCAAAATAAACAATATGATGAAAGAAAGCAATGATAAAAGATTTGGGAGTACAAAAAGAGCTCTTATCTTGATGTAAATTTTATTAAAATACAGTACACATACAGAGAAGTTTACATTCTCTTTGCCATCACTCTGTTTTTGTACCACATTACCATTTGTCTAGATTGCTTATCTTGTTTGCATTCTTCCCACATACTCCCCTATGTGGTTAACCTTGAAACAGCTGTAATGATGTTCCCATCTTGATGTTATTTATTGATTCCTTGGCCTATAGAATAAAATCTAGGCTTTTGACTAGGGCATTTATGGCCTGGTCTATGATGGAGGTGGTGTGTTTGTAAGAAAGGATGAAGAAGATTCAGAGTTTGATGTTTGGCTGTATAGTGATGTGGAGGATAAAGCATGGTTATCAAAGAACTCCATTGTTTTGAACTCAGGTATCTAAGAGATCACTGATAACCATTTCAGTTAAACAAAAAGTGTACCATGAAATCTGTGTCTTTTCTTTTTTTTGTGAGGTAGGGCCAGGGGGTGGGTTTTTCACTATGTTGCCCAGGGGGTGGGTTTTTCACTATGTTGCCCAGGCTGGACTTGAACTCCTGGGCTCAAGTGATCCTCCTGCCTCAGCCTCCTGAGCAGCTGAGACTGGCACTGTGCCTAGCTGAAACCTGTATCTTTTTAATACAATATCTGTGCTATTTCCCATTTTGAAAGGAATCTATATGGTTTTTGTTTGTTTGTTTGTTTTTTTTAAGAGAGAAAAAAGGAAAGAGAAAGAAAAAGAAAGAGGAATCTACATGGTTTTATTCCTCTATATAGATTTAGGCTATTTGGGTTTTGTCATTATTGCATATTCTTTTTTTTTCCTTTTTACTAGCAAGAATATTATTACATATTCATGTACTCTGAATCTTTTCCCATGCCTCTTTTTTTTTTTTTTTTTTTTTTTTTTTTTTTTTTTTTTTTTTTTTGTAGAGTTGTGGCCTCACTATGTTGCCCAGGCTGCTCTTGAACTTCTGGGCTCAAGTGATCCTCCTGCCTTGGCCTCCAGTGTGCTAGGATTAAGGTGTGAGCCGCTGCTCCCAGCCCCGTGCCCCTTTTGTTTCTAATTATTCTGTGCCACTTGCAAGATTTTCTCAGGAATCTTTGCCAATTCCAACTAAAAAAATCTCCCACTGATTGTTAAATATAATTTTACTTTAAATGATTGTTCATGACTTGTAAATTTGCCCACTTCCTTTTTAGGAAGGACTATCGAGACCTGTTCTTGAATACATTGATCTGGTCTGTGGTGATGATGAAAAGCCTACCACCTATCATAGTGGTGTAAGAACATTATATTTCTATTTTTTCAGTTTTCTTATTAAGTGCAATAATGTGTTGGAGGTGGCTTGAACTGGATCATAAGAACTAATTGTTAGCCAGTCACTGTGGCTTACGCCTGTAATCGCAGCACTTTGGGAGGCTGAGGCAGTTGGATCACCTGAGGTCAGGAGTTTGAGACCAGCTTGGCCAACATGGCAAAACCCCATCTTTATTAAAAGTACAAAAAATTAGCCAGGCATGGTGGCATGTGCCTGTAATCCCAGCACTTTGGGAGGCCGAGGCGGGTGGATCACGAGGTCAAGAGATCGAGACCATCCTGGTCAACATGGTGAAACCCCGTCTCTACTAAAACTACAAAAAATTAGCTGGGCATGGTGGTGCGTGCCTGTAATCCCAGCTACTCAGGAGGCTGAGGCAGGAGAATTGCCTGAACCCAGGAGGCGGAGGTTGCGGTGAGCCGAGATGGCGCCATTGCACTCCAGCCTGGGTAACAAGAGTGAAACTCCATCTCAAAAAAAAAAAAAAAAAAAAAAAAAAAAAAAAAAAAAACCCAAAAAAAAAAAAAAAAAAAAAAAAAACCAAAAAACCAAAACTAATTGTTAAACTTTCAGGAATTTTGTGAGCTGATTGTAAACATAGCAGTTATTAAAAATTAAAGCATATAAACACACAAATACATAAATGATCGTTGTATTTAAGGTAATACTTAATAATATCATTTCCTACTCTCTGTGCACCTGAGGTTATTTGCTTCTGTTGGTAGAAATACTATTAATACATAATAGTGTGCTGATGCAGCGTGATGATAGAACATACCCATCATGATCAGTAAAATACAAACTAGAGTTTGATTTATTATTTGTTGATTAAACTTGAACTGAAGGATAAAATGTTAATGCAGATTAAATTTCAAAGTCTGATGTGTCTCTGCTAGACTATATAAAATACAAAAAAATTGAGGAAATTGGTTTGCAGTATTCCAAAACTTGGCCAGGCAAGGTGGCTCACACCTGTAATCCCCTCACTTCAGGAGGCCAAGGCTGGTGGATCACTTGAGGTCAGGGGTTTGAAACCAGCCTGCCCAATATAGTGAAACCCTATCTCTTTCAAAGATACAAAAATTAACTGGGTGTGGTGATGCATTCCTGTAGTCCCAACTACTTGGGAGGCTGAGGCAGGAGAATCACTTGAACCTGGGAGGCAGAGATTGCAGTGGGCCAAGATTGCACTACTGCACTATAGCCTGGGCAACAGAGTGAGACTCTGTCTCAAAAAAAAAAAAAAAAAAAAAATTCAGAACTCTTCATTAGTTCAGAAAGATGATGATGTTATTGATGAATGAGTGAAACTCTAATATATGTCTGTATTGTTTCACTTTCATCTTATTGATTAATGTAATTGAAAATATTATCCACCCTTTATATCGATACTGCAGTCAGCCCTTCATATCCTGTGGGTTCCACATCTGTGGATTCAACCAACTGCAGATGGAAAATATTTTTTAAATAATAAGTACAGTAATAAAAAATAATGCACATTAACAAAGTACACATTACAAAAACTATTTTATGGCATTTACATTATATTAGGTATTAAAAATAATCTAGAAATAAAGTATATGGGAGGATATTCATAGGTTGAGTGCAAATACCTTATTTTATACAAGGGACTTGAGCATCGGAGGATTTTGGTATGAAGAGGTGCAAATAGTATACTCATTTGCAAATCTCATGGCCAACATTTTTGCTGAATTGGATGATAATAATTCATAGTCAGATTTTGTGAAACTATTGTTGGCTGTAGAATTTTAAAAACTGATAGTGGGTTTTTCAAGAAATAGCAAGTCATATATATATATATGAATATGTATATATATAAAAATATGTATATTCATATATAAATATATATAAATATATATATTCATATATAAATATAAATTTATAGACAAATATATTTATATTATATATTACTACATAAGATATATATTATATATTAATACATATATATATTATATATTTAATCATTAATAAATCATATATTTAAATAAATATATAATATATATACATAATTATATAATAAATATATAATATATTTATTATAGTAAATATAAAATATTTAATATATTTATATAATATATTTACTTATATATAATTATATAATAAATGTATAATTAATAAAATATTAAATTATATATTTAATTATATTAATATATAAGTATATATTATATATTTATTATATATTAACATATATTTATATTTTATATAACAATATATATTTATATTTTATATATATATTAATATATTACTACATATATTAATATATATATAAATAATTTTTTTTTTTTTTTGAGATGGAGTCTCGCTGCGTCTCCCAGGCTGGAGTGCAGTGGTGTGATCTCAGCTCACTGCAACCTCCACCTCCCGATATTCAAGTGATTCTTCTGCCTCAGCCTCCCGAGTAGCTGGGACTACAGGTACATGCCACCACACCTGGCAAATTTTTGTATTTTTAGTAGAGATGGGGTTGGCCAGGCTGGTCTCGAACTCCTGACCTCATGATCTGCCCACCTCAGCCTTCCAAAGTGCTGGGATTATGTGTGTGAGCCACCACGCCCACTCACATCATATTGATGTTTTAGATACAAGCTGAAAATCAGGTTAAATATTTAAGTTTAAAATTTATTTCCAAAATTAGAAAAAGATTCACTAAGTTAACTTTTTCATTGACCCTTAAAATGTTATGAATTTTACTTACATATATAAAATTATTTTTCAGATTCTGTTTCCTAAAGCGCCAAAACGACAGGGTGATTTTTTGCATTTTTTAAAAGTGAAGAAGGTGAAAACAGACACAGAAAGTAATGAAGTGAGCAAAAATCATTGCGGATTATCTAAGGCAAAGGAACCAGATTTTGAGTATATTGAACAGCCAATCGCTGAAGAAAAACCATCATGTTCATCAAAGGAAGAAATAGATAATCTTGTGCTTCCAGATTGTTGGAATGAAAAACAAGCATTTATGTTTACAGAACAGTACAAATGGCTTGAAATAAAAGAAGGTAAATTAGGATGTAAGGATTGTTCAACAGTTCGGCATTTAGGATCAAAAGCAGAAAAGCATGTTCATGTGTCCAAGGAATGGATTGCATATTTAGTAACCCCTAATGGCAGTAATAAAACTACTAGACAAGCGTCTCTACGAAAAAAAATTAGGGAACATGATGTTTCTAAAGCTCATGGTAAAATTCAGGATTTGTTAAAGGAATCAGCTAATGATTCAATTTCTAATTTAGTACATAAACAAAACAATAAAAACATTGATGCTACTATAAAAGTTTTCAATACTGTTTACAGTTTAGTAAAACATAATAGACCTTTATCTGATATTGAGGGGGCAATGGAATTACAGGAAAAAAATGGAGAGGTAAATTGTTTAAATACACGTTACAGTGCAACAAGAATAGCAGAACATATTGCAAAAGAAATGAAAATGAAGATATTTACGAATATTATAGAAGAGAATGCCAAAATCTGTATCATGATTGATGAGGCATCTACAGTTTCAAAGAAAAGCACCCTAGTGATTTATCTCCAGTGCACAATTCAGTCAGCTTCTGCACCTGTTATGTTATTTGTTGCTTTAAAAGAATTGGTGTCAACTACAGCAGAGTATATTTTCAATACATTATTGTCTACTTTAAATGATTGTGGTTTTACAAATGATTATTTGAAAGCAAATCTAATTGCATTTTGTTCTGATGGTGCTAATACAATTCTGGGAAGAAAGTCTGGAGTAACTACAAAATTGTTAGAAAATTTTCCTGAAATCATCATTTGGAACTGTTTAAATCATCGATTGCAATTGTCACTTGATGATTCTATATCTGAAATAAAACAAATTAATCATTTAAAAATATTTCTTGATAAAATTTATTCTATTTATCATCAACCTAATAAAAATCAAACCAAGCTTCTAGGAACTGTAACTAAAGAACTTGAAACGGAAATTATTAAAATTGGTCGGGTTATGGGACCAAAATGGGCAGCATGTAGTTTACAAGCTGCTACTGCTGTATGGCATGCATATCCTGTATTATATGTGCATTTTTCTCATTCTTACTCTGGTTTGGCAAAGAGATTAGCTAACATTAATTTCTTACAAGATCTTGGTTTAATGATTGACATCCTTGAAGAATTTTCAGTACTTTCAACTGCATTACAGTCAAGATCAACTAATATTCAGAAAGCACAAAAATTGATCAAATGTACCATAAGAGCTTTGGAAAACTTAAAAATTCATACTGGAAAGTACGAATCTCAAATTGAAGATTTAGTCAAGTCAGATAAGTTTAAAGATATTCCATTTAATAAAAACAATAAATTTAATGCTCTTCCTAGGAATATCTTACTAGACAATATAATTCAGCACATGAACCTACGCCTTTTATCTGAGCAAAACCATGATGAAAATATTTTTAATTACTTTGATTTGCTAGAACCTTCTACATGGCCTTATGAAGAAATAACTTCACCATGGATAGCTGGTGAAAAAAAATTATTTCATTTGTGTGAAATTTTAAAATATGAAGTTGATTTGAATGATTTTCGGGAATTTGTAAACAACAATATAAAATCAAACAATGTTTCAATTCCTCCAACTATACAAAAAGCTAGAAAGATAGTTAGCACCATTGCAATCAATAGTGCTGAAGCTGAAAGAGGTTTCAATTTAATGAACATAATTTGTACAAGGGTGAGAAATAGTTTAACAATAGATCATGTATCAGATTTAATGACAATAAATTTATTGGGGAAGGAATTAGCAGATTGGGATGCAACACCATATGTAAAATCTTGGTCAAATTGCAACCACAGGTTGGCCACAGATACAAGAGTTCGGCAAAAGTCAACAAAAGTCTTCCATGAGAATCAATTGGCTATATGGAACTTACAATAGAATATTGTATGTGTTTTTTATCATCTGTAAATTATGTACTATACATCCTTTATATATATAAAGGGTTTTTTTGTTGTTTTGGAAAACCAGTTAAACTTTTATCAGCATGTTGCTGTTTAAAAGGCGTTTAGCGAGATAACCTTGAAGACTGGTTTTAGGAGCTATAGTTTTTTAGATTGGCCCATGTTTGCTGGAGTGGGTCATAATACATATTCCATGAAGTTCTGTACAGAACAAACACCATGTATAATTTTGTACTGTTTAAGTAAGGATGCAAAAAAAAAAAAACAACTCAGGTCCTGGAGGTTACATCAAATAAAAGAGAAATGGAATCAAAACTGTAAGCCTTTTGGCTCTTTTCTCATTTCCATATCTGTGCTATCTAGTATGATAGTCACTAGCTACATGTGGCTAATCAGCTCAGTAGGACTAAAAGTAAAATTTTAATTTACTTAATTTTACTTAAATGTAAAAACTGAAACAATGTAAAATATTTTTTTGCTTAGCTTTACTGTCTTTCAGGAATACATTTTACTCTGTTACCTTGCATAAGGTTTGGTTTTTGTAGTGTGCCTGTCAAACTTGTGTGTCATTTCCAGTATTGAATATAAACACACTGCTGATAGATATGATACTGCTGTCAGCAGATGGATTCAGTGCAAATTATTTTTTCTACGAATTGATGTAACATCATGTTTATCTTAACATTTTATGCAGACAACAGGAATTACAGTGATTCCTGTGTAAATTGTAACTGGCAATTGAAATACTTATTTTAATCATGATTAAATTATTTTTCTAGTTTACACATGAATATGAGCAAATTTTTAAATTTAAAATGAAGGCATACTGAAAAAGAATCAAGTGGAGATGCAGAACCTAGCACAACAACTGGAACAGTAAACAAACAGACTCAAAGAAGGTATGTTGCGGATTTGACAATGGCAATTTGCAGTTTGCTGTGGCAGAGCAAAACAAGCTGTTATTTAAGAAACTATTAAAAGTAAGAAAGTTGAGACTTCAGCAGGTGCAAAATGAATTAGGTAAATTACATTTCTTCTGCCAAAAAGAATCAATGAAATTTAGTCACCTGAAATTAGAATTAACAAAAAATTTTAGAAACAATTTTAGAAGGAACTAAGGTTATAAGTTTGGCCAGATGTAAAATATCTGAGATTCTTACATGAAAGAATTAGGTTTTTTAGAGTTGGTGGGAGAGGGGAGGATCTTGCTCTGTCATCCAGACTGGACTGCAGTCACTTGCTGCAGCCTCTTTCTCTTGGGCTCAAGCAGTCCTCCTACCTCAGCCTCCTGAGTAGTTGGGAATACAGGTGCATGCCACCACACCCAGCTAATTTTTCTATCTTTTTGTACAGATGGGGTTTTGCTGTGTTGCCCAGGTTGGTACTGAACTCCTGGGCTCAAGCAGTCCTCCTGCCTCAGCCTCCCAAAGTGCTGGGATTGTAGGCATGGGCCACCATGACTGGCTGAGAACTAGTTTTAAATGGATAAAGGTGAAATAAATTATTTCAGTTGAAGAAATTGTTAGAATATTATGAGTACAAGCCTAAATAAGATGTTTATTAAAATGTACAGGGCCTTGGCCAGGTGGAGTGCCTCATGCCTGTAATCCCAGCACTTTGGGAGGCTGAGGCGGGTGGATCAGGAGGTCAGGAGATCAAGACCATTCTGGCCAACATGGTGAAACCCCATCTCTACTAAAATACAAGAAAATTAGCTGGGCATGGTGGCACACACCTGTAATCCCTGCTGCTTGGGAGACTGAGGCAGGAGAATTGCCTGAACCCGGGAGGTGGAGGTTGCAGTGAGCAGAGATTGCACCACTGGACTCCAGCCTAGCGACAGACCGAGAATCCATCTCAAAAAAAAAAAGAAAAAGTACAAGGCCTTTAGTTAAGTACCAAACAACTGCTCGTAGAATACACTACCTAGCAATATTAAAGATTGATTCTAAATCTGAAAAATTGGAAGTACATTTCTGTAGTTTTAGAACAGTTTTGAAATACGAGAAACTACCCAACTAACACACTACATTGTGTCTCATAGGACTTAAAAATTTTGAAGAAATAATTTCAATTCATGGCCTCATAAGTCAAATTTATGGCCAGGCACGGTGGCTCACGCCTGTAATCCCAGCATTTTGGGAGGCTGAGGCGGGGTGGATTACCTGAGTTCAGGGGTTCAAGACCAGCCCGACCAAGAAAGTGAACCCTTTTGTATTTTTGTAAAATACAAAAATTAGCCACGTGTGGTGGCAGGCACCTCTATTTCCAGCTACTTGCAGGAGAATTGCTTGAACCCAGGAGGTAGAGGTTGCAGTGAGCCAAAATTGCACTGCTGTACTCCAGTCTGGGCAACACAACAAAAATCCATCTCAAAAAAAAAAAAAAAGTCAAAATTATGCAGCTTTAAAAAAAATTTTTTTAAATTAACTTTTAATTAATTTTTTTTTTTTTTTAGATAGAGTCTTGCTTTGTTACTCAGGTAGTGGCGTGATCATGGCTTACTGCAACCTCTGCTTCCAGCCTCAAGCCATCCTCCCACCTCAGCCTCCCAAGTAGTACGGATTGTAGGCACACACGACCATAAACGGCTAGTTTTTGTATTTTTGGTAGAAACAGGGATTCCCCATATTGCCCAGGGTAGCCTTGAACTCCCTGGTTTAAATGATCCACCCACCTTAGCCTCCCAAAATGCTGAGATTACAGGTGTGAGCCACTGCACACATCTCATGCAGCTGTTTTAAAATCTCTACTTAGAACAGTTTCAGCTGGAGGAGAAAAAAAACTATTTTCTGCCACAATAAGTGATGCTCCAGCTAAGTTAGGTTAAAAAAGTCAGATTTCATTAGAATTTTGTAACAAACTTGATGTTTCTGTTATTTCTTCATTCCACTAAATGATATGGTTTGAAAATCTGCTCAGTGTTTTGAAATGGTCTCTACAACAAATTGTTACTTGTTGGGTACAGTTAAGTGCCCATTATGTAAGTACACATGATACAAATCAATACCAGCTTATAGGATTCTGGAAATAATTAAGAGATGAATTTAGTGATCTTATATACCCTGTCAGTCAGTTGGTCATATTGTAGAAGAGCTCTACAAAACTTACGTACTGTTAAGTCAAGATTTTCTTCCAGTAACAGGAATGCTAGCCAAATATTTAATAATCAAAGACCAAAAATGGCAGTTTAATTTTTCTACCCAATATCCCATGGCATATGAATGATCTAAATTTGAAGCTCCAAGGATAGGAAAAAGCTTACTTGTGCCTGACCTAGACAAGTACTAGAGTTTATATTGAAATCAAAACTTCTAAAAATAAAAATCAGTAAGATTAATTTTATTCATTTTTCTAACATGAGTCAATATGCTTGAAGTTTTAATTGTATTTGATAGTATCATGTAAATTTACTGTAAAAACAAAGAAGAATTTTTAAACTGCTCTATTGATTAGATTTAGGGTTGCTTTTCAATATACTCAGTAACTCTGAATTCAGTGTTAACAGTAAACTGAGCTTACATAAGATTTATTGAATTTACCTAACTTAGGCAAATATTTTCAAACTGATGTGCTTTTGGTCTGGAGTCAAATCAATTATTTTAAAAAAGATGAATGGGATTTTTTTCAGTGTGGATATGAAAAATAAAAGAAAATGATATGTTTGGAAGAATTTGAATATTTGAGTCTACTTTGTCACCTGTGATTTATCACTGTATTTCTATTTTAGAATAGAAATATGTGGCTTGCAGTGTAGTTGTATTAGATAGCACTACCCTATTTGATAGTTACTCTTAAAACCAAGTTTCAGCAATCTAGACCTTACTTTTGACTTAAGGATCCATGGTGAACTGTCTTTTCTTCAGTTTAACATTGTTGTTCCATAGGCATCTTAAAATGAATAGGTCCAAAGTTGAATTTATTCATCTCTCATCATATCTGTTTTTTTTTTTT